GTGTGGCCGACTTGCGCCGTGTGCGAGCGCCCGTCATCCCTTCCGCTCGCGGGGTTCGTCGAGTGAGAAACACGCCCCGCTGCGACGGCGTACAGCCTCCTCCGGGGCCGACGAAATCGCGGATCGTCCCAGATGCTCGCGAGCGGCTGCCACGTGTGGGTGTGTAGCCTTCGAGTCTCTCGCTGGTGTGTTTTTCTCCGTTAGAGATCTTCAAGTATAAACAGATTGAACACCATACGTTTGCTCTATCAGATTTTTCAGGACCTATTTAAGATAGGTCGAGATAGATTATGCATAAAATTGGGAGTACATATTTTTGCATAACGCATATATATAAAGCGTAAGAAAATGAACTAATTAAAATTCTTCATTTCTTTTCTTTCCATGAAATAAAGAACTCTGATCGGTTGAGTTTTTCATGTTCTATGCAAGAATATGTGCTTCTCGGTTAAGATTGAATAAGATATCCACGCATCTCGTTCTATCTTATACATTTATCTCATTCTATCTTAAATCGTGAAAATGTGGTTGACTAATCAGAAGTTGTGTAAACGTTGAAATTTACAATCCGCCATAAACTAATTAGAAGTTGTCCAATTTCTTACTTGAAGAACTCTAGTCTCTTATTATACTACTAACTATTAGTCTACGTTACAATTGTGATTACAATTTGACGATCAGTTCAAATTGCGCCATCCGCTTTTCAGATCATAAATTGCAAAAAACCGAGTTCGAGGATTAAATTGTTTATGTTAATATCATTTAAATATTTTGAAATATTAAGAAATCAATCTTTCATATTGATGATTATTTTTGTAAATGTTAGTTACAATTTTTATAAAAATTTTGCCATTAATTTTAAAGTCACAATGATTCAAAGCTTTTAAAATGTAAAAATTACAGTTCACTTGAATGCTTTGAAGCATTCTTTTAATTGGTTAATTAGTAAAATTCTTTTTTCTGATCAATTAAATGCGTCAAAATATTTATAGCAATAGTAGGCTGTATTCAAATGATGATACATCGAGCAAATATACAGTTGTTGCCCAATTGTATCGTAAAAAATTCAATTATGTAATTGTGAATTTTTGCTATCAAATTGCGATTATATCAAAAGACAGACTTTTAAAATTATAATAAAATGTTGTATGTGTAAATATATCTTTAAAATTATATTAAAAAGAGTTACAGTAGGCAAATAATGCCGTGTAGATTTGTTTGTCATTCGACAAAATCCTGCTGTGCGAATATGAATCATTTCAAAGACTTAACTTTAAAATAAAACTACAAGATTTGAAATTCTCTATAATCTCTTAATTCATTCAAGAGTTAGTCTCTATAAATGTTAATTATTGAAGGGTGCAATGTAGAAGACTATCAAAGTATCATTTAAGAAAGTCGAAAAAGATTAAGATTTAAAATAAACTTGTAGATTTTATTTCTGCTTGATGTTGTCGATTCTTGCATTTTTTAAAAAATGAAAAACTCGCTACAACTCGCTATAAGTTACAAGATACATATAAAGATACAATAAATTTATAAATTCATTCAGGCGCATCAAGGAACATAATTCTCTATAACGGATATCATTGAAAAATGTAAAAGATCAATCTTTCATCATTCCATGTGCAATTTTCTAAATATCTTTTGGAGCTTTGTCTTGCATGCGTCTCTTAGCCGTTGTTATTAAGATCGCCTACGTTTATCCTCGCGTTCTCCTATGGGTCTATATCTATGAGATTACCCTCTTCCGTTCGCAACAAAGTATCACCGACAGTTCGACGGTAATGCTGAGCGTTTCCATTTTCTATGCAGCAGGATGGAATAGAGTTCAATGACTCGGAAAGAGTGAGGAAGAGAGACAGGAAAGAGGAGGGAGGCAGAGGCGTCTTTCGTGGCGTTCCGCGGGATTGACTGCGGACAGACGAGCTCGGGGCGAGCTTCTCGTGCGTGAACTCGCGCGTAAGTAGGAAAATGCGTCGCGGACGCGATGGAAAGCACGATGGAGATAGAGGCGGAGCTTTCACCGCCTCCACCTACGAGCCCACCTTTCGCGGGAGGTCGCCCGGCTGGGTTTCCCGGACCTTTTCCACAACCTCCTGCTCCTCTCTCTCTCTCTCTCTCTCTCTCTCTCTTTGCCTTTTTTTTTCATTCCCACCATCATGGTCCACCTCCACCTCGGGGAACAGCCCCGACATTTTCCTTCATCGACTGCCTCTTACCGATGATGGTGAATCCGCACCAGCCAGCCGGGTTTCTGTAGTCTACCTTCTTTAGAACATGCTTATAGATATATGGAGGTATAAGCTGGGAGTGGCTGGTAAAAGTTAAATAGAAAATGTAGTCGTTAAATTGAAATAGTAAATTAAACGAATATGACGTACGATTAGATTAAACATTTTTGAAATAATGAAACGCTGGAGCAAGAATTAGAATGAGGTTGGAGAACGTTAAGATTGTATTTTGGAACAGTGATAAAAACGCAATGAATCTAGCAGGATTATAAGTACAAATAATATAGAGATTATTCATGTGATTGATTCAATCACATGATTGTGCGTGATTCAACTTGCGAAACATACAATCGCTGTTCGTGCAATAAATTAAAACTAAAGGGTTTTCACGATAATAGGATTGTTATTCTGAAAAAAAATTTGTCACAGCAGCTGGAAGATTATGTCATTCTATTATATGAAAATTTTTAAATCTAATTTAATCTAATTTAAATTTAATTTTATTTAATATTGTTGAAAGATAAATGACAAAATTTGTTATATATATTTTGACGAAATAAGTGATGGATTTCTAATAACTGTAACGTCCATTGATTGAGTTCTACAGTCGAGTCTGTAAATAACACAATGTAATTTCTTCGTCCACTTTCTCCTTCGATTACAACACTGCCATTTATTTAATGTAACCATCTCGAACGAAGTAAGCGAGGACTCCATAGGCACTCTTTTTGCTGCGTAAGAGTTCGTATACCGAACCACCATCTTGCCATGCGACCCCATTCCGCTCTTGCACCTCAAAGTGCATCCCGCCTTCGCCCAGCAGACTGCAGACTCTTTCCCTCCCTCTCTGTGAATCCGCCCGTGCGGATCCATACGGAACGCGACGCCGAGCTCCACCTTCGTCGCCACTTTCACCGCCGCCACCTCCTCTACTTCCGTCTTCGCCACCTCTACTTCCGTCTCCGCTATCCGCCTCCGTTCTCGTCTATTACACGGTTCGTAAACTCGGCGCGCCATTTTGCGTAACCCTTTTTCCTCGAGGACCGCCACCATAGTGACCTCTTTGCTCTCCTTGATCCCGCTGGTTTCCCCTTCCGCTGCGGCTTTAATCAAAGCTCTTTCGAAGCGAGTACGTAGCACGGAGATAAGAAACGGAAATTAAACGTTAGACATTTACAAAACTCGCACACAGCAGTGTATTTTTACCTGCCTCTCTTTTTCTTTCGACACAACTAAATTTAGTAAATTATTTCGTTTTGTGTTATGTAATTTTTTAATTTATCGTAATTCACAACTATAATTCTTACTTGAAAAATTTGCGAGAAAGCCGCTGCTAAGCAAGCAAATCTTTAAAAAATAACTTGATACTATAATGTCTTAAAAGAAAATTTTATTGTAAATTCACACAATATATAGTTTTGTATTAACTTCACATACTTGTATTACTTTTTGTATCTTTAGCAATTTTATAACTTATTTAAATCATCATTTATCTAATTATTTTGAAGTATTCATAATTTTTCTGTAGTACTAATATTTGCAATTTCGTATCTGAGGAAAAAATGTAGAAAAGAATATTATTCCCACGAAAAAAAACTTTTAATATTTTCGATCTTTTTAAATGGAAATAAAAATGGAAAGTATTAAATTGTTTGAATGCCGAATGTCGAATAGCAATCAATAGTAGAAATAGTAATATGTCGAATAGAAACAATAGTAAACATTTTGTACGTACCTGTCGTATCTTCTTCTTCCTATAAAAATATCTGTATCGTCGATTTGTGGCTGGGGAGAAAAAAATAACTCATGAAACGCAGCACACACAATTGTACATTCCATGATCGTTTTATTTCGATTACAGAACAGCGATCGGGGGGGGACTTATTTCTCTTCTTGATCCGTTTAGTGTATTTACATTATTAGCTCGCTGGTGCATCGCGAGAGATTGGTTTGGCGATGATCTAAAAATTCTGGTAATTATATGATCGACGAGTATCGAAAGCCGATCATTAAAAAACGCGTACTGTTCAAAGAAAAACTTAATTGTTACATGGTCGTGAATTCCGTACAAATTCCGTTTTGTGTCAGAAAGAAACAAAGTTACATTAGCCAATCGGCTTTCTCCCGCGTCGTCTTTCTTCACGTAATCTTAAGATTCCTTAATCCTCGTTTGTGAAACGAAGATAATGATGTAGAGCATATGACGCAACTTTCGTCGACACGGATTGGTGTCGTCTGCATCTCGCAATTTTGTCACGTGTTTAACAGACGATTCACTTTAATCCAGAGTGTTTGCACGGAAAGAATGATTTTGCTAAAATATCAAAAAATTTAGCTAAATACAGATTTGAAAATAATTTTGTTAGAATACATCAAAATTTTCATAGAACACTCAAATTGATTGTTAGAATGTCAAAATTTTTTTGCAATTCTGGCAATCAGTTTGAGTGTTCTACCTAAAAATTTTGATAGTCTAAGAAAATTATTTTCAGATTTGTATCTAAATTTTTGGATACTCCAGTAAAATATCTCCATGTATAATATATAATGATTGCTCAATAAAAATAAGAATTATTTTCGTATGCAAATATTTCAACTTTAAAAATTGCAAAAACATCAAATTAAATATTTAAAAAATAAGATTAAAAAATTCATTGTCAATCCGGAAAAATCATTGAGAATGGATTGATATTTGTATAATTAGAAATAACTAGTTTATAATTACAATTTTAATATATAACAATGAAAAGTAGAACAGTACGGCAAGATTCGCGGAAAAATTGACAGTTTTCGGAAGGGACGGCGAGTTCGTAAGTATAAGTGAATATATCGATCGTTGCAGATGCGCAAAACTGCATCGGGTGATCTTGAAGCGACGCTCGATTGATGATCGTTAAGAACTAACGGAGTTAATTTACTAGCTCTAAGATGCATAAACGTACATGTTAAAATCCTAGAGAGTTAATTTACGTAACGCAGAAAAATATACAAATATTTACAGGAGCGGAACGCTCATTGATAACGCTGCCCGGCTGATCCCGAATTCCTGGAGTGGAGAATGTAGATCCTCAGGGACGTTGAGCCGAATTGTTCACATGTAGATGCGTCGCAGATCGGATGGTGACGTTATCATGTTGCATTGCGGACAGAGTTTCTTCGCGCCCTGTAACAGCGATAAAAAAACCCTCGTTTCTCAACAATTGTCGGAACCAAAGTCGTCATTTGACAGAATTCGCCATAAACTTGGAGAAGAATCAGAGCATAGAAAATTGAATAAACTTGAATAAAAATGGATTCCAGCATGTAAATTTCATTAAATATATTTATCGGCGATTAAATTAATGCTAGTTTCACGAAAGAAAATTAAATTCAGAGGTCGATCTGGCAATTATACATGAAAAGAACGATTTTACTGAAGTATCTAAAAATTTAGGTAGATACAGATCTGAAAATAATTTTGTTGGACCATTAAAAAATAATTATGTAGAAAATTCAACCATGATGAGCAATGCTGCAAAAAATTTTGATATTCCATAATAGCAACCAGCTTGAGTGTTCTACATAATTACTTTGATATCAAACAAAATTATTTTCAGATCTATATTTAGCTAAATTTTAAAAATCATTCTTTTCGTGTGATTATTTGGATATTGACATATATAGAAATGTTTACAGAAATTTCAACAGCTATTTTTATTTTGTAAGTTGCGTGGTACATCTAGAGTTATAAGTTTTAAAAAATTTAATTTAATTATTTCAAACGTCTGAAAAATAACTAAGTTCAAAAGCATATAAACAGGTAATACTCACCAGCGTATGCAACCAGCATTGTTCGCAGTGTACGTGCCAGCAACAAACCGAAGTGACTGGCTTTTTGTATTGTTCCTGAAATGGAGATTTTTCACACATTCGATAAATAAAATAATTGGCAAATCCACTTGCACCAATACTCTCCACTTCTCATATGCGTGTCAATATAAAAGATATAACCGCGTATAAGGGTTTACTACATCGCTAATTTAGTTAATTGGCAAATGTACGACGATAATTGTTGTTGTTGTTGAAGTTTACGAAATGAGTCGCGTCTCGAAATTAAAAAGGAAATATCTTAATTTCTCATTAGATTAATGCAAATCAGTGGAGAAGGGGGAAAGGATATTCCATATCCAGTCCAATTTCTCGTGAGCGACAAAGATGCGACGAAATGCGGTGCAGCCGATAATGTAAGAAAGAGTTAACGATCGCGAGATCATTGCGAGTTGAATTGGCATTTCTCTCCGGCGGTTTTTCAGGAAATGAAGCGACGAATTAAAGCGATCGTTATTCACGGCCGTTATGTAAGCGGCATTCCTCCTGGATCAACAAATGTGCCCTGTTTATCCTGGTTGATAACAACCGCAGGTCGATATACCTTTAGCGTTTTACTGCCACCACGTTACGAGCGAGATCGCAGTCTTATCTCGCGAGTTATTCCGCGTGATCGCGAACCTGTTACGAGTTGGTGGACAGGTAATACCGCATCGACGATGGAAACACTGAACGTAATATTACATGTAATGTTCCTTCATTAATTCGTATATGAGCGGTATTAGAGAATACTTTATTTGATTATCTAAATATTTCAAGCTATCGTTGATGGAAAAAAACACAGTCGAGTTTTATGCACGGCTTTTATATGTCGCAATTATTTACGAGTTACGAAATGCGCATTTTCAGATCACGAATAAAACGTGATGAAATAATATGTATAATGCAATATTACAAGGAATAATATAAAATACGTAATAATATAAAATACGATAAAGCGCGCCGTTTTTCCGGCTTATTTTTGCATGTCCAATTTGATTTTTCACAATATTAAAACCAGCAAGTTATCTATAACGATGAACTAATTACAGTGACTCAATTACAATCATTTGCTATATTAGCGTTCGAAAGTTAATCGGTTCAGTTTTTACGTTCAATAATCGTTTTCAGAGAGCGAAACCTAATTTTTATTATTACGATTTCATTCATTTCACGAAGCATATTATTCAAACGATAAATTGTTCTGCAAAATTTCAGTAAAATTTCAATTCCAAGCAGTATTATTTAATTTGACTTTGTTTTCTTGTCTTAAAAATATAGGTACATATTGATTATTTCCTACCATTAACGTAACATTAAATATTAAATATAATATAAAATATTTAAAAAAATACGTTCTTTTACAAATTACTTCAAAACTTAATCTTTTCATATGAAACGTCAGACAGCGAGGAACATAACGCTAAGAAAATATATGCATTTTTATTAATTAAAAAGTTATAAGCAATGGAAAATATATAAAAAAAGTCGGGTGTGTCATATCAAAAAGACATTTAAGAATACTAAATCCTCTGTAATCACAAATTTTCAGTTTACAACTAAATGCCTAAGTATTTCTTAAATCAGAGATGCGATTTAGAAATTTCGTTTTATTCATAATCGTTGAGATTAATTAACTCACCATGCAAATGAGACATTTAAAGGGTTGTCCGCGCATCTCAGCTTCGAGCTCGCGGATGCGGCCGCGAAGGGCCTCAACGACGGGCGTATCGCCGTCTCTCCTAGGCGACCCGGAGGCACCTTCGTCGGGGTCGTTTTGTTGGGCGACGGGTGTTGCAGCACCCGGCTCTGGCTTCACTTCGACCAGACCCTGCGCCGTCAATCCGGAGTCAGGAGTCAACTGCTGTGGCGTGTGCGGCGCGTTCGGCGAGATAACAGCCTCGCGAAGCGCGTCCCGTTCTTTCTGTTCTCGCGGCGTGCCATCGACTCGCGGCGCGACCACGTCCGCTTCGGAATACTGAGCTGGACCGAACTCAGCGGCGTCGTCGCCATCGACTACCAGATCGACATCTTCGTCCTCCTGATTACCTCCACCCCTAGCACCACTACGATTGCTCGAGGAAGTGGCGAGGCCTGCGGCTGCGAAGTGAAGGAATAGCGATCTCTAAAGTCCGTGTCACTCTACGCATTCGAGACTGAGGTTGCAAATTTTTGGCGCATGTAACGTCAGCATAATTTGTTGAAAAAATTATTTGAAAAAAAATTCGCAATTAATACAAAGTATATTTTTTTCTATAGAAATTTAAATCTTGTTAATATCGCTCCGTATTAATCTTCACAAAACGTTTTTTTATGCAAAAGGCAAATAACACGATTACATAATTTTCTGTTATACAATTAACATATATTTATTTTATTTTTGCTTTTGCAAAAAATATTTAATTCGATTCAGCGTTTTTAAGTAAGTAAAATTATGTAATAAAATTATGTATTATGTGTGCTTCGTAACCGTAAATTTAATGTAAATATTCTGCATGTATCAATAACTATATGTATAATTTAACTCTGCAAATTACTTACCAGAAAACCCACCAACGAGCATGGAAGTGGCACGCACTCTTGTTTGCCCAGCCCACTCGTACTCTTCGTATTCGGGGTCGCCCTCAACGTCAACTTCTTCCTCGTCGACATTCGCGTTCTGCCCGGCTGGATTTCCATTGTTCTGCTTATTCAGGCATCGGTCGACGTGTTGATTTAATTCCTCCGGAGTGCCCGACAATCTCTCACTGCAAACCGGACAAGACGCCTCGTCCGCTTTTCGCTTTCGATTCTTAACGCGTATTCTGGCCTGTATATATAAAAAAAATAGCAATTTGCACATCTTTATTATAATTAGTAGTTACCACGTTTCTCATATCATGTCGGAATCTCTCAATTTGCTTCTTCGAGAAATTATATTATTAATTATATTCGAGAAGACGTCACATGATTAATAAAAGATTAAAATCTGATTTATAACGTGCTCTTTGCTTTCTTTTTTATTTCTTGCCTTTTTCCTTCCTTGCGATCGGTTTATTGACAATCACGTTTCTTGTCATGTGTTTCTTGTTTCTTCGGAAATTTATCAACTTTTATCTCAGACAACAAAAAACGAAGAAACAAAAGGCAAGAGGTAAAAAACAAGAAGCGAAGAGCACATGCAAATCAAGTTTAAAACAGGAAATAAAGAATGCATTACTTGTCTGTTGGCCTTGATCCTTTTGTATGTCTCCCATCTACCCTGAGGGGTGCCATCCGCCGCCGATGGGGCATGGAGCATCGTGCCATGGGAATGATCTTGGGGATGCGTCGGCGGTAAGGTCGACCTCGAGGATCGAGGTCTTGAAGATGCCGAGGAGACCTTGTACAATCGATCGAGCTCTTGAGCAAAATGTTGCTCTAGTTCTTGAGGTCTCACTGTCACTCCGCATACAGGGCAGCAAGAGGGATCCGAAGGGAATTTCTTTTTGCCTGAAATAAAAATAATTCAGATTAGAATAGCTTTGATATTTCAAGATGATATCATTTTACAGATTTCAGATGTCAATTATTTTTATCTAAAGTATTTATTCATTGACTTTATTAATAATTAGTAAAATAAGAGATGTGCGAGATAATCTTTTTAAGTTTCTTAATCAGTTTTCTATTATATTGCTATTTTTTATATAATTCAATAGCAAGTAATAAATAGGGATGCACCGGATCGTAAAATTATCGAATATCGGATATCAAGACAGAATATAATATCGGATATTCAGTATCCGATCGGATATCCGAGAAGGCAATTTCGATATTTTCCGGATATCCCACCGGAATCCGAGAAAGTGTCTTAAAAAAAGGGCCTATAGGGAAAAAGATTGTAATTTTGCAACAATGTATGAGATATTATGGCATCATGAATATGCATACTTATTTTTAGAAAATATTTGTATAAGAAAAAATCGACAATTAATAATATTCAATTTGAACCGGATATATTCCCGGATTTAATGATATCCGGCTATCCGGTCAGATAGTAAAGATAGTAAAGATAGTAAAGAAGTGCCGGATAATATCGGATACTTTCCAGATATCCGATGCATCCCTAGTAATAAGTATTATCGCGTATATTTTGTATAGACGAACAAAGCTCTTAAAATTGAAAAAAATGAAAAAACAAACATATAAAAGTCAGGCATGGAGCTTCGTGTACACAGAATTTAATTATTAAAACACTGATTTTACTAAAACCATAAATATACATTATATGTTTTGGCTTTTTTTTAAGCCATCTTCAAATACAGTTTTACGAAAAATTAAATAATCCTACGAAGCAGATTGTCTCCTCAATCATCGCTCCTTTAATCTAACAGTGTAGAAGAGGCTACAAATTAGGCAATTCTTCCACATTTTTCTCATTCATTTTTCAAACAAACGCAAGTGTCATTATTTAGTAATGTATATACCGTTCTTGTGCGTCAATGAAAAGTATTATCCGTGAAATAATTTTCAGCAAAAAGAAAAACAGAATGAAAAGAAAGTAATTCCCTTTTATTTGACAATTAAATGCATTTAAAGGATGCCTTTGATGTCCTCGGAAGTGAGGATTTAGCCAGCGCGCGCGCTCGAGGAATGGGATCACTGGGGGCCCACACCACCTCTTGGAAGACGTTGGCTAACGCGATTTAAAAAGTATTCAACTTGCGTCGTAATTACTTTTGGAGTCGTCCTCGCCGTCGAGGCGCGCGTGTCGCATTAAGTTCAGAAACGAGCCGCGAAACGAAAACCGCACCGTCGTAGGTCAACGCAGTCCGGCTCGTTTACTCGCAATTTATTGCCCCGTAAAACGGCGAATAAAAGAGAAAAAAAAGAAGAGGATGAAAAGAGGCAATCGTGGTGAAGGGGAAGAGGAGAAGAGGAAGAAGATGGACGAAGGAAAAAGCGCGGTATGGAGCAAACGGCCGCGTGCTCGCGGTAATCCAGCGGGATACTTCTGTAGTTCTATCTCGAGCCTCGCGCGCCAGACTCTGACGGGAATGCATAATTAATTGTCAAAGCTTGTCGCCGCCTGCACCGCCGCGAATCCTGCGGTTCGGCCACCGAGGATAAATGCATAAACTTATAGGAAAAGTTCGCGATGCTGAAGTGCCGGATTCCTTCTCGGTTGATTTTAATTATGCGTTAATCGCTCGTATCTCAAGGTGGCTTCATAACGTTTCGTTGCGTTGTAAGAATGCCGAAAGCCTTTATACGACGGTAAATATTTATCGCGAGACGCATGATAACTGCAGATGAAGAAGGTGGGATTAGGGTCGCGATCGCGATGCATCCCGATGCATCCATCAACGGATACCATCGAGTTTTATTCGAATGGTTTATCTCGGAAGAGCAAGGCGCTTTCCAACATCTCCGGTCCTCGACGTCGTCGAGATGCGTTTAAATTGTCGAATCTAAATTGAAATCTAAGCGCGTTGGCTTTTAGGGACAATGTTACAACTGCGGCTCAAATTTATCGACTAGATATAATAGACGAAATTATTTACAAGCAATTCATAGACCGAACACGGCGAACATTTGTCATATATTGAAAATTTACGCCAAAGAGGCCCGAAGAAACACGCTGGAATTCCATTTACATCGCATGATCAATGTGTCATGCTATCTTTATGGCTGTATTTAAAATTGTATCTTGATTTATATAACATCGTAATGATAATGGTACCAGATAACACGAAAATATATGCGAATATTCTATTGAAAAATATTAAGAAATAATCAATATACAAAAAAGTGACGATTATATTAATTAATTCATTCTAGCTGATTTAATTAACTTCAAGTATAAATATCAAAATATTTAATTCTAGAAATTATAAAATATTCCAGCAAAAAATATTATTATAATTGCATAATTGATTTTTTCTTTGCCCTATCAAATATTTCTTATTAAATTAATTTTAAATTGTAAGTCAATTTGTTATTTATTTACACAGTAGCACTTTTCATAATTTTTGTAAAACACATGAAGCAAATTTTTGCTTCGAAAAGAATGAAAAATTCGAAAATTTGGTCGCAAAGAATACTATCTAGGCGCGTTATGCATAATTGGATGCCTCGAATTTTATTGTACAAGTTACTGAGATTCTCCTCCTGCCTAAAATAACGCAAAATTGACGACGCATGAACGCGTACATACACTTTGCATATACTTCAAAATTCCTGAGTAATAATCGCGATTAGTCTTACGAAGCACCGGGTAACGGAAGTTGGCGGAATTAATATCGTGATGACGAGATGAAGAAAATTGATCCGAAAGAAGGAATGAGATGAGATTTATCAGTTAATTGTAAATAATTTCTATCGGAGATATTCTTATCGAGTCTCCTTAATTGTTAAATCATTCTAGACTTCAATAGTTTCAGAAAATTTTTTATTATGTAATTCATGAATCTTGAAGTGCTCACTAAATAATTATTAAAAATTTTTATCATTATTATAAATAAAATTTATTCTTTCAAAAAACTTGTAAATTATATAAATATCTCTCTCTCTCTCTCTCTCTCAAACTTATAAATTATATGTACGCAAATAACAATATATTATTTTCAGATAATATAAGAAAATTTATTTCTGTCATGATATTTGCAAAATCATGACATTAAAAAAAGGGATTTATACATTTTTATATCTCGAATTACATGATCCTTCTATTTCGAATAATCATCGTTTCAATATTAGTTTCGTTACTCACAATGAAATCTCCCAATTACACTTCCCTGTAATAATAAATCGCTCTTCGTCTGCTGCAAATCGCCATAAATAGATTGGATAGATTGACGAGCGATACCGTGAAAATCTAGTTAGACATGTCTACTTATACGACGATATCGATGTCAGGACGAGTGATAAATCGAATTATCACGTTTAAAAACGCATCATCCTTCCGGTGATAAACACGCTAGTCGAAAGCTCTTGAAAGCTTTAATCAGCGCATTGCTGTAATTTTTAATGTGTTTTTGCTTTTTAATGAGAATTCTTGAGTTTTGTGTCACGTTAGTTGATTAGATACTACTTTCACAATAATTTTGTAACTGAAAATCCTATTTTGCCTTTCTCTCGTTTATATTTTTGTTAATATATTATTTGCATATAAAATATTAATAGATAATAAATTACTCATAATTATTCTTTGTAAAAATTTTATTAAAATCTAATATATCTGGAACATATATATGAAATTTTATTAAAATCTAATATATCTGGAACATATATATGAAAATCATTGACATAAATTAATTTTTACATAATTTATTGTTGTATAAAATTTATTCTACATCTATCAATTATACGAGTATAAAATAATGAATTAAAACTCTAATTTATAATTGCATCTTGCTTTTTATTAACAAAGAAGCTTTACTAATTACATAAGTAATGTAATTAAAAATATAAATCAGAAAAAAATATTGCATCCTGACATGAATTCCATAGAACGTACGAAAATAAACTGCTGCTGAGTGCACCTGCCGCTATTTTCTGATGACAACATCAAACATTGACGTCTTCTAAAAAAATAAAAAGAATTTGCGACATATAACAGACAACTCGCAAAGATTTTTGTTTTAATCTCTCATCAATTTTTTACGATTTTACAAAAATAAATGGCTTCAAAATATCAAATATGTAAAAGCACATTATTAAAAAAAAGTGTCGTGTAAGAAAAGTAGAAATATAAAATAAATAATAATATAAAATAAAACAAATTAATCTTTCATTTTTATCGTTTGAATATAACTTGAGAGCAATTGGTTCGTTTGTTTTGACAAAAGACGATCCGGTGATGCCGAGAACCATGAGTATTTGATCGCGACAAATGTTTCACGTCGACAGCGCAAAGACAGAGGCATCTCCCTCGCCCTCACAAATCTTGACCCTCAAGGATCGACTTGTAAAAATAGACGATGGAACTTGCGATGTTCTCGCGATTTCCGGAAAAGAGAAGAGACGGTTTGTTTATATATCAAATACACCGACATTCTTATGTCAAAAATAATTTATTTTTTTACATATAGCTGCTTTATTATTTTATATTTTTTTATAATAATAATTATTCATGTTTGAAAAAATAAAGCTTTTTACTGGAAAATAATTTACTAACAGATTTTTAAAAATAAAATCTACTTTTCTCTCTCTGTTTCTTTCTCAGTCACAAAATAAAAATAATTTATGATTTATATTCTATAAAAAGGAACAAAGTGTGAAGGTTTAAAAAAAATCATTTTTCATTTATTATATAATGCTTTTAAAGCATCAATTTAAACAATTAATAACTGAATAAAAAATATTAATTATTATTTTATAGAATACGTACTTATATTTGTATAAGTTCACTTTGTGCAGAGACTATTAATTATATGATACAATCTCTGTAAAATAATATATTGATAAAAAAATAAAAAAGAGAACATTTTTATTTCATAATAAATTCTTTC